CAGTGGCGTGCCTCAAGGAACTGTACTTCGACCAGTATTATTTCTTATTCATATCAACGATCTTCCGCAGCAGCTCCAGTCACCATGTGCCCTGTCTGCAGATGATTTGAAAATCTGGAGGATCATTGAGGACCAGGACAACTGCGCTTGCCTCCAGCATGACTTAGAGCGACTGTCAACGTGGTCCACTGAAATGCAACTCTCTTAATGCAATCAAGTCGGAGTTCATCAGTATCACCAGACGTCTAGCCACTTGATCATGCACCTTGAACGGTCAGGTGCTCCACCCTAACACATCTGTCAAAGACTTAGGAGTTCTCTCACGACATGATATGAGATGACCTGAAAATACAGAGAAAATGTACCGTGCAGGACTTCGTATGCTCTGGGCATTAAGACGCAGTTTTTCCACATGATCCGAAGAAACTGTCCCTCGCATATTCATATCGCTCATTCGGCTAATCCTTGAATACGATGCCCCAGCTTACCATCCGATAACCCAGTGGGAGACTGAAAAGTTGGAGCGAGTACAGCATATCGCAACTAGAATGATCCCGAGTCTACGAAAGCGTCCTTAAGAAAAGCCTTGGGAAAGGCTCAGACTCTACACAGTATCCTACCGCCTAGTAAGAATTGACCTTATTATGACCCATCGAGTGCCACACTTGAATCACTTCCCTATATTGCGGCCAAATATTTCACCTGCAGGAACCCTGTAACACCTGAGGACACCGTTACAAACTAAGGATCCCCTGCATGAACAAGGTATCAAATCAGCTTTGCATAGAACGAAGAATCGTAAAGTTATGGAACACACTACCGGAAGGATTAATAGATGCCGATTCTGTGAAGTGTTTTAAAACGCGTACCGATGATTATTTCAGAAACGTGTGCTTTTGTGAAACCATTCACCTACAAAACCAAAAGAAGACATAGTATACCCAGAAATAATGACACCAATACGAATTGCTAACCAAAAGGATAAACGGTTAACTGACCAAACAAATCCGCTGAGGATTCACAACTAAATGTTTTTGATGTTTCATAATTCGATAGAGTTGTACAGAGCTCTTTCTATTTGCTCTTAAATACAGTCTCAATCTTAGTCTCATTGTCGCGTGGTTATGATGCATCGACTCTGGCTCCTGCTGCGCTGCTACCAACATCTCTGCTCACAATTCTTTTCTATTTGGAAGACGACCATGTTCAGCAACCGCTGTGAAACGTCATTTGTCAATTGTTATGGTGGCAGTCTGGTTGCTGTTCTGAAGTAACTGAAAGTGACGTTTTTCTCATCAACCTTCAAGCTGGAGAGAGTAACTTGGAAACCGAACCAGTTCGAAGCTTGCCTTCCCCATATCTACAGGTTTCAAGATGGGCCACTTCGATGCTCAGAATTTTATTCGCTAGTGGCATGATTTGAGATTTCTTTGCATGCGATCAATCAATTTTGCCTGTTAACCTTTCATTTTAATCTCTTAACAGTCTGTCTATACATTTCATCACGAACCTTTCTCTGTAAATTCGCAGTTCTTTCCTTGTCTTATCTCATTGTTGGTCATTATCCATCGCATCCTCTCTATGCTTGATAGTCCATCTCCTAGTCGGCTCAGTGAGACGGAACCGCTCACTCACATCATAACCAGGCCATTTAGCGTTTCATTACTGTACGTTCCGTGTCTATCAAACGCACAACTGGTAATTGTCCTAGAGTTCTCTCTAGCCAACCGCTTCACATTCGTTCTGCAATATTAATCATTCTCTACTTTTTTCCTGGAGCCCACCCCTTAGACACGTGCTGCAGTCCTCCGTGCTTCGGGAAAACGATCTAGATATTATTCGCTTTTTGAATGGATTCATCTGCGTGTACTATCTGAAAACCTACCAGGACCATCGTTGTTCACGTTCAGTCTTTATACTTACTTCTTTCAAAATCAACTTTCCTCTTACCGAATGCAGCTAAACTGTTGGAACGACAGTAAACTTGCTCTACACTACATACAGTTTTCTTTCATTCCCTGTACCTACGACATTTCTCAGGGTCATACAAATTGATTTCACATCACCAATCTCCCGAATTTGGTCATTTACAACTGTTGGAGCCATCTCAAATATTTTCTCTGGAAATTTCTAATGAAAAACATGTACATTTCTGAGGGTTTATGACTCCAGTGATAATTTGTACAATCTGTATCGGACAACTTCGGACAAAAGCCCATCGTCTTCTCGTTACTATTCCTTCATCCCTTTTCTATTTTTTTTAATTTCTATCCTACCACTGTTGGCCACGACTGGGCCGATCTACCGAGGTGATGGATAAATGCTTCCAAAGGTATGGTACACTCATGCAATGCGATTTGTCATGAACTCACTGGCGAATATTAAAAGTGCTAGACTCAAATTAGCTAAACGATGGCTGTATGATGGTGAGATCTTAACATATTAGACCGTCCCCAACATAAATTTATATATATCTTTATATATAATGTATCACCATGATGACGACAAAATTGCATATGGCAACAGCCAAAAAAGCGAGTTAAAAATATCATTGGCTACTTGCTTTAGACCAAAACAGCACATGGCCAGATAAGATGTGGAAGCAGGTCTCCGGGAGGCTTTTCCATAAAGGGCCGTAGTACTACTTGTACTGATGGCTATATCTACTTTTATTCTTACTTTCAACTTCTCCACATGAGTGAGCACCTCTAACACTCCATTGAGAACACAACAGATTTTGTAAAATTCCACTATCCGACTTTGTACGAATTGATCAGGCTGGTGTTTTGCCTTTGTTTCGCATATCGAGAAATATACCGTTTATTTATGTAACCCGCAACCCAATTTGCAGTACAGGACAGTTTGACTCATTCACGGAATTCGCATCATCTGTTAGCAACTGACACGTATTATGAAACTATCTAGTCAAGTGAAGTCAAAGTAGGCTTTATGCACCCAGGTGGGTTCATTTTCAGTATAGTAAACTATCACTGCAGATGGTGGTGTTTATATGGAATTACTGTTGCATGAAAAATAAACACGTGAAAATGTCTACAAATATCACTCGAACAAATACTTTTGGTTGGATCAACTAGCAAGCGGTGGACAGGTACGATAGCACAGAGTTGCGGTGAGATGCAGTACATGAAAATTAAAACTCTTAAATTTGGAGCGGGTAGAGGAAATAGATAGTGTTTTTGATAGGTCAGGGTGTTATAGTGCATGAAGAGCGTCGTTTAGCATTTTGGCGGAAAAAACGTACAAGCGTCTACGTGCTTGTTGTCAGTAAAGTTTACAAGGGACTCTAGACAATTTGCTGCATCTGCAAATAAGATTTATAGATCGTACAAGAAATTTATAACCCTTTTTGTGTATCCCAAGAAAGATCACTGTTGAACAACTAAGCTAATGCAGCAGTATACATGCAGTCACAAATTTAAGCATTAAATCACACATACGTAAGACATCTTTTTGCACCCTGTCTTCTGGACATGCTGTTATAACTCGTTTGCGGCGGTAAAACTCCATGTGTACGACATCAGCTCTTGTAGCGTCATGAAAACGCTCCGTATTACGCCCACTGGGAGTTTCTCAACACTCGTCCCTACATGGATTAGTTACAGCACGCTCAGCCTTGTGTGTATCGCTGTATCATGCGATCGGCGATGGGTCTGTGCCTGTTCTTGGTCGTGACTTTAATTTCGCGTATCTTGTCTTGGTATTCCTTCATCCAACAATCGACTATCACTTCTTCACAGGATCTGTTGACTCGTGGCATGCTTGCCTTGTGCATCTCATACCACCGCAGATTCCGTCCGCTGTATTTATCCTACTCCCCTTTATCTTGATCATGTTGTTGTGGATTTTGTGAGTTACTTCGTCCATTCGGCGACCGTTACTGTTCTATACTGAGTGTCACCTTTTCGTCATCACCTTCAGCAGCATCGCACATTCCATTCCGTGCGCACCACGAGAGTCTACGTTGGTTGCATGTTGTGATTGTTAACTGCTTTCAAGATGTTACAAAACACCCTGTGTTTGCTGTTGCATTTCGCTCGCTTCGTTTTATTCACCAGTAGATTTGTGGCACATTGTGTAACTCTTCGACAAGTAGCCCGAGCTCCTTGTGACACTTACGCTCCTCCACATCTTGCGTGAGCTTTCCCATGCTGACAAGCCATGCTTTCTTTACCTTTATGAGCGAGCTCATGGTTGCATTCCTATCACAGTATCATCAGCACTGTCTGGAGCTCGTGATCTCGTCCCAGACATATGTGCACACTTTCGTTTTCCAAGGTCTGACCATAGAACAGTCGCTGCATCTGTTTGTTTGACGTCTCCGAGGCGCATCGTCACTGCTTTCTGTCATTCCAGTTACTTGTCGATCTCGGCTTTCTAATTAGTCGACTAGTTGCGCTAATTCGAAGCATGCGGGTATCGCAAGCACCTATGTTGTTCACAAATGCGAGCCGAATTATTCAGCAACCATTTCACTATACTTCTCAGTTGTATTGAACCTAGTACTTCTTGAAATATGATGGTACGTGATCACTTTCTAATTTCTAAACTGGCCTACCGCCATCAGTCACTGTAGTCGGCTAGCCGTTGATGATTTCGCAGAATGCACAAGAGCGTCGTTCTAAAAGCATCATTTTGCCTACCGAAGATATTGCTCGCATCCCAGGCGCACCAATGAGTGTGGTAGACATTTATGGGTGACAGTTTTGTTTTCTTTCTCATCTGTGATCTCTCGACCTGTTTTCTGGATGACTGACGTGTATTTCGTCTGAACTGCTAGCGTTCTGTTTATGCTTGATGGCGATGTGGGAAAGTGGGTGTATACTTCAGGTGTGCCACATATTGTGTGACACTGGCGGATTCGCTTAATCCTGCGTATTTTCATTGCTTTACCCGTGTCCATCTGGATCATTCCATTAATTTCGTCTCATGGTCAAGTTGAACCAGTTTGCCTCATTTCCCCCCTCCCCCTCTATTTGTAGAGTGAGCAAGCCGATTTGTACCAGCGTATTGTCAGCTCTCAATATCCCCGTATTCCCTACCATTACTATCTGTTGGTAGTCAATTGTCCCAGCTTTGCATCCTTTAATGGGGATCGTTTCGTCTACCGGACCACGGATGATGCTTCCGAGGTGCTGCGCACTCTAAGCGAGCAGTTTCCTGAAACCACTTGTCTCGCCAAGGCCCCGGGTGTTTATCCGATTCCAGACCATCCGACCATCTTCGTCTCCGGCAACTTAATCCCACAAGCCACATTGCCAAACCACTTGACCGTCCATGAAGTGGACAGTCGCATCAAAAGGCATGTCACACAATCTTCATCATCTCGTTTTATGATCTGCTGGTCCGCTTTTGTGTCCACTTAACGCAAAACTACTTCATCCCCTCCACCCCTAACAATAGATCGTGGCCCACAGTGCGTTGTCACGTATGTCTTATTTGTCATCTCATTTTGCTACAGTTTGTTGGCACGCAAATTTCCTATGAGTGACAGCTGTCACCTGTGAGTGCTGTTTACTGTCTGGCCACACATACACCTCACTGGTAAATCTCCTTATCTACCTGTAGTTGTCCTCCCTGGCGCCACCTGAATCCCACATCACTTAGTGTCTTTGTCGTTTTGTCGCCAGGTGGAACGTGTGATCCGTACGCCACAGGTTTTGGTAGTTGCGAACGGATTCCAACTTGCTTTAACCTGATAGTATTCGAGGATGCACCGTTTTCACCCTCAGCTTGATGGTTTTAATGTTCTGTCGACGCTATATTTTATTCACCCCATCGTACAAGAATGTTTATTTTTACTCATTGCTACATGCAATTTTGAATTGGCCAAATACGCTTCTTAAATTCGTACTAAATTTTAATGTCCGCATCTCTACGGTGTTTGGTCTTTATACTCTTACAGGTCTCACGTGTGCTTTTATTATTATTATCCCCCGGGGACATTTTCGGTTTGAATGCATATTGAGTCGGTGATTTTCGTTCTATGGACACTGCGCTAGCGTATCCCTTGTTTGTAGCTTCTTGAATAGAAACAACTCGGTTCGAACCTGATCCGATGGGTTTACTTGGTGTTTCTCGTTCTCGTTTCATAAGTTGTTAGTCGACGAAATCAACCTCGTGCCTAATCACCGATGCAGTCATAGTTATTGTTTCCTTTTCGCGACACCATCTCCCTTTGTTTTATGCTCAGGTCCGTTTCACATTACACTAACGTGTACCAGTTTCGCTATCCTGCTCACAACACGATCCACTGACTGCGTCACTCATCTAATAAGACTGTGACTTGTTTTCAAATAACTCCTCGTTTCTGGACACATTTGTTACGCACACGTCCTCGTCAGTCCTCTCTCCTTTTGCCGTTAAACATGTGGGGGACTATCTGATGTCGAAACTACGACGACGAACTCTCAGTTAATTACATCAAATCCCCCCACTCATGAGTCTATCAAAATATCCGCAGTTATAAAGAAACGGAAGACAGTTGCTCAGGTTGTCTAAATGGCGGTGAGAGACCTCCCTACGCTACGCGATAACGCACTGATGATGCCACCACGAATGTTGGTGAAACATTTGCAACAAAATTGCCAAGCTCAGCGAACAGTTCAACCGCCATGACATTTTCTGACTGCCATGTTGCACATAGCTACTGTCAGTGAACGTCCTATCTTTCCGGGCCAACCCTGTCGTCTGAAACGTTCGTCACTTACATGGCAGTGGAGGATAAGATTCGCTATATCGCATTTAGCTTGTAAATCATGACGGTCCGAAGCTGTCCCCGTGGCCCAGTGGCATAAACTGCTGGCTGGCGCTTCAAGCCGTTAGTGGTCATGGGTTCGAATCCTGATGGATCCGATGAATGCGCACTACTGACGATGCCCAACAGGCTGAAACTGCAGTCCAGTGCTTTCCCGGGCATGTGATCAACTATCTGATTTGGAAACTGGCTGCAAAGAACCTCACTTAATTACCTCAAAATCCCCTACTCATGAGTACATCAAAATATATCCGCCCTGACAGTTTCTAAATGCTATGTCGTACATAGCAACTGTTAGTGGACGTCGTGTCTTTCGGGTCCAACCCTGTCCTCTGCAACGTTTGTAACTTGCATGGCAGTGGAGGATAAGACGCGCTATATCGTAGTTAGCTTGTAACTCGTGACGCTCGGACGCTGTCCCTCTTGGCCCAATAGCATAAGCTGCTAACTGGCAGTATATGCTCCCGCTGCTCATGGGTTCGAATCCGGAAGGTTCCGATGTATGCACACTAACGGTTTGAAACTGCACTGGATTACCTTTCTGGACATATGGATGACTAGCTGATTTGGAAGATGCTGCGACGAACTCTCAACTAGTTACACAAACGTCGCGGTCCCCAGCTTTTTGGTGATTGGACGAATACTTACTGGTTGATTACCAACAAGATCAACATACTTGGACCCAGATTGTGATTATACATCTTTCCGCATACGCTTTCCCTCAAATCTTGCGTGTTCATTGTTCTAGTTCGGTTCAGTGGGCCTACATCACACAGGCTGCATGGGTTGATTTGCAAATACGCATTGTGTTGTTACTTAGATACGACATTGGCATTAACTCTGTGGTCACTTGTATGCTCACACGTGCCAGCGACAGTGTCCGAACAATACTGAATGGATGTTCTTTTGAATTATGTAGTGACTAGGTTAGGTTTCCCCTGGCAGTGATTGATGTCGCATAGTTAGCATACACAGACAAAGCTCACTACTTATGCATCTGCCATCCGAATCTCGTGACGCTTACAGACGTATTTCTTCTTCCTTTATTCAAAACTCTCCGTTTCCTTTGCTACCTGAAGCATGGAGGATGTGCTTTTGCTCAGCTTCTTCTCTTCACTGCGCACACCTGTTCCTGTGTTTCTTTGTTTCGAGTGTACTAGATTCTCTCCGCACCTAGTCACCTGTCATTCCTCACTTCGTTCCTGAGGTGACTGCCATTTTGTCTACTCGCGTCTCTCATGTTCGGGCTCAATGGGAACCAAGTGTCTGCACCACAGTGCCAATTACGAGACCCATTCAAATGGTTTTTGTTCCCAACGGACGTAGCAGCTCATGCAACAAAGCCGGCGTAGTCGCATTACGAAGTAACCCAGTTCCACAAATGAGCCACTGTTTATTTCAAGCAACTATCTAATAAATCGCATCATGTGATTTGGGAACTGTTATCATTGAATAAGCAGTTAGCTTGGTAGACATTTGGGTGTCACCTGCATCGCATTCTACTGTGTGGCTAATGCATGCCCCTCTTCAAGATATTCACATACACGCACTCTTAATTTTAATATGCATTCCTCCATATCCGGTTTGTTGTACCTGGAGCCCAGCTTTTATGTTTTCATTTCGTAACACTGACGTTGGCCTGCACAGTCTACCAACACGCAATAGCTGTTAGTTCGCCTACTTTCTCTGGCCGTTGTTTTTGCAGATCGAGCTTTTACGCCTTTTCTAATCAACGTTTAAACGTTGATGCCAGATTTAAAACTCGTTCGAAGCACCTTCCATAAACCAACACAGGTGTTGTTCGAACTGCACTATTTTCGTGATTCTCGCTTTCTCTCTGGTTCCTTCCCAATACTCCACTGCATCAACGGATTAGTCCAAACTCTATTTATCCAATCGAACCATCCTTTGTGTTGTTACCTACTGTTCAACAGACTGGCTGTAATACCATGTTGTATAATCTAGTGTTGACCTCGACACTGTATATGTCAACTTTGTGTGTAAACCTAGACGTTGTTCTCTTCGGAGTCACACACAACTTGCTAGAGTTATCGTAACACCCTGAAGTGTTGACCTCTGGGTACGGTGATATCAGCCACGTCTCGCTGTGTGTGTGCATGTCTGTACAAATACACCACGTAACTTCATTGCACTAATGCCGATCTTCGTCAATGTAACGCCACCTGTTGCATGCACCACACTCTCTCGAACACAATTCATCTACCAACAATGCGAGCAACTTGCTAGTGCCACCGAGTTATGTGCGCTTACGGGTTCCATTCTCTGTGTATCCTACCCGGTCATCCTAAATGTTGGACAACCAGCACTTCTGAATGTTACTAGGCTAGGTTTACCAATCGGAAGTGATATGCGTTTCAACCAGCTAGTTCATTTCTGATCTTCCTTAGCTGATACTTTCTAATGAACAACGGTACCCTGACCGTTTTTCTACATTCCGCGGTGATTTCACACCCGGCACCGTCTTGAAGACACCGTCTCCTCTTCAGCACCTTGTGTATCTCACCAACACTTGAGATATGCTTGATTGATACTACGCGATAAATCACCTTACGTCACTGCATAGAAACCGATTGAGGAGACTACCACTAATATTCACCGTAAGCTGAGACAATCATCTGGTCGGGCGCGTGCATTGCGCATCGGATGACGCACCATAACCTGTCATATCAATTTGTGTTCGAGCCGTTTTAAGTTTATCGTTGGTTTTGCTTTACGATCCCCAAGATGAAAGCAGTCTGTTGGCACACTCACTTCATTGTGATATATATATATATATATATATATATATATTTGCAACAGTCTATGAATAGATATAGAGCCATCAGAAACCATGGAATACAAAAGAAGGTACAGAAATTGTAAAAGAAAACGCAAGACAACACAGCAAAGTCCATGGTTTCGTCAGAGGGCGAGATACTACCCGGTTGCCCAAGCCGAAGTAGGGTGTTGACATAGGTGACACCACCCGGAGCCTTTGGCGAAATAGCCTGCCCGCAAGGCAGCGGAACGAATTCAGGGAATCTGCCCCATTGGGACCCGGTGACTGATTGCTCAGTTCATACGCCTTTCGTTTGTTCCTTTGTCGAACAGGGGCCAAGTGCTCCGCAGAATTACAGCATAAGGTTGCTGGAATACAATGCTTCGCCAGGATGAAACAAGGGGCAGTGACTTTAGTTAGTGCCGAGTCACGTCCACCACGTCACAGTGTTGTTAAACGGACATATGCAGCTTTTTATAGGGAGAACGCTTGCTAGGCGTAAACCCACCAAGTTCTGGAACACTGCCGCCGAACCATTTGCTGAAACGGGAAAAATCCCGAACCACCCAGCTGGCACCACGAGGAGGTTGTTCGGCATGCATTTTGCATGCGATCTACAGCTATCCATTTCGCTTTGTCAAATATTCGTAGGCTAATTTTACTCATTTCATCGTCCTCCTTTCACCCATTTCGCAACCGCACTTCTCCATTATTTTCTCAAAATGAGTTTTTGATTATTTTTTGAATATTTTTATGTTCCAGAAGTCTGCGCAATGTCTTAAAGTGTCTTTTTTCAAACATATTTGCCATGTGAAACAGTATTAGTAACTTTGGAAATAGTTTACCCAGAGAGATAAGTCAACATTAGGTGGCATGAAACCGATGTTCCAACGAACACAGCGGTAGCTTGTTTACATACCTCGTCGCTTTGTTGAGAGACTCAGCGACTTTACATTACCTTAAGGTCAGTACAATGTCAGGCCACGTTGTCGCTAACAGTGCGGAACTATTCTCGCTAACCCCATCATTGCTGTCACTTTATGCTCTCTGCATTAAAAGCTCATAGAAGAACAGTTTACGGTTCTCCTCTGCTCATTCGATTCCATTTTGCTTTTTCTCTCAGCTACTATCTACACAATCGAGTGAATTGCTTCACACACATTCGTCACATGAAGCCAACTGTGGTGAGTTTTCTTCTCCGGTTTCCTTATTTTGATTGCAGCACCCAGACCATCCATTCCAACGGTATTCATGCGTTGTCGATAGCCACCCCTGCGCATTTTGTCTACGTGTTAGTAATAATGTTACTTACGACGGAGTAGTATAGGAACTTGCATGGCATAAGTAGAACTTCATCACTTCTAGATTCTATCAAAAAGTCATCACACGCCCGGAAAAGTACTTTACGGTCGTCAGCAGCGCGCAGTCCATCTGACCACTGTGGGGCTGGAATTCGCAACGATCGACTGTTACCTGCCGGTTGTTACGAACACTGGGCTAGGATGAACGGTAACGACCGATGTAACTGGCTTACCCTGGATGTGATATAGCACGCTCACAATTATAACAGTGTTGGTTTCACGATAAATCCCTATGTGGCCATTTTGATAGCGGGTGGATGTTGTACAGATATCACAGCTCACAACCCTCAGGCTGCGCCCAGCATGGTTGTTGACATATGGATAACGCGTGTTACACGTGTCTCCTCTTTACGCCTTTTCTCTCACGGTCTTTAAGAAAGAGTCGCATCAATCACTCTACGGAGTTTTCCTTTCCATGCGAACAAGCAGACCATTTTTGCTCAGATTAACAAATGCGACACAGACACTCACGTGCTGTGGATCTCGCTACCTGTCCTCGTCGCCCCATTACTCCGATAGTTATGTTTGGTTAACAAACCGAAGTGATTCCAGAAAAGGTCCTAAATGAAGAAAACATAAGGATAATTTTCCAAAAAGGCCAAATGCTCCATTCTACACTGGTGCACTTGAAAGACCCACTTCCCGCAGATAGGACAACCAATTGCGTCTAAAAAATTAGTTGCGCACACGTGTACATCGGCCGAACCGCGAGAGAGCTACGCACAAGGATAGCAGCACACAGGAGATGCATAACACGGCCACCGAGAAACTAGCTTGAATATAAGGCTGTCCTAAGGACTTCGGCAGTAGCGATGCACGCGATAGATACAGATCATGAGGTCGACTTGAATAACGTAGAAATCATTAGAAAGGGTTGCGATCAACTCCCCAGAGGCTGGCTGCTGAGGCGCTTGAGATTTGCAAGGTGAACTGCTGAGTGAACCGAATGGACGGGGCAGAGCTTTCGAGTGTGTGGCGAGCTGTCTTAACCCGACCAGTCTGAGGAGAGCCGGCGGACGGATCCAGGAGAGAATGAACACCACATCATTCCCGCACCCATCGTTAACAGGGCTTACGTGCGTGACCTTATAACACAGAACATTTGTGACCGTTCCATGCACTATTTAGAGTGATGTGTTGATCTGTAATGCGATTGATCTTCTGCCTACTCCCATTCGTGGCGATTATCATCCCAATTCGCTATAAGTGCTATACCAATCCTCGACTGGTTCACTCGGCCTGACAAGGTTTTGTGTCAAAAGCTAAACGTTGCCTACCAACCGGTTGTTTTCAAACCTTTGTGAAATCATGAGTTCTCGATCGGTTCCAAGTATTTTCCAAGATACTGACAAACCGAAGTGGTATTGTGTGGAATCAATTGTAACTACTGTATTCAGTGTCTATCCACGTCGGAACTACATGCCGAATGGCACAACAATAATCAGACGCATAACGCGTGTATACTATGGTGCGTCATCCATGGTTATCGTTGGTGAACTTAAGGGGCCTGCTCGCCTGAGTGACTCAGTTCAGCTTATGACTTCACGTTGTGTTTGCCTCCTTTTTTGTATACCCGTTGTACAACATACCCATCTTGCTACACAGCCGTGCTTTCTGACTTTGCTTAAGCGTAACACCCACTACCCTACCGATCGAGCAAGTGACGTTTGTGTACCAGGCGGACCGCGATATTTTTTATTCACGGTCGATCTTTTAACGTTCTTTTCTCGAACGAGTGCTGTCCCATTCACACTTGACAGTTTGCGACAAATCGTACTCCTGATGATGTCTCCTTTCACCCTTTGGTTCAATTTTTTGCTGTCGGATATGCACCTATTTACCGCTTCATTTGGACATTTTCTGTTGGCTGGTGGTTGAAGGCAAAGGCATCAGCAGTACGCCGGTACGCAGTGCCGCGGAATCACCACCAGTCGCAAATAGGCTAATGATACTGCGACGGACGCCTGGTCCCCTACTTAGGCTCAAATCCGCGCCATCTGTTTATAAGTCAGGTGTTAGAGCGACCACGGATGTCAGCCACACAGCACGTGAAAATCGATCGATTTCCAGCGCTTGTTTTTATGTTAGCTTGGAACTTTCAACCAACCATATGGCACGTGAGCATCGATTGGTTTCGACCAAGTTTGTGGTCAACATCTTTCCCACACGGTTGGTTATAACATCCGTTGTGTAAGTAGACGTTTTCATGCAGTGTCAATTCCGTCTTCTTACTACTAAGCGGGGGCTATAACAGTCTGACGACGGAGATGTTTGATCAAAATGTCATGTAAATCTTTCAAAATCAGCAACGTCGTCAATTGGATCTGCAGCAGAATTTATTTGAAGTTCCGGCACGAAATTTTTCAGCACACAAATCAGAGGTTCCAGAGGGCAGAAGTGATGCTCAACTCAAAGTTGCATTGGCCAATGGAATCCAAGAATTCAGTTACGACCCAGACAGTGGCAATGCATTTTTAGCTTGATACAAGAGATATGAAGACCTTTCTATTGTCGACGGCTCAGCATTGGATGCATCAACAAAAGTACGGTTGTTGATGCAAAAACTTTGGTGTTTTGTACACACAAGATATTGCAATTACATTCTGCCCAAACACCCAAGAGATTATAGCTTGCAAGAAACCGTGGAAAAGCTTACCATAATTTCTGGAAAGCGGACCTCTATTTTTAACGTTCGTTATAATTTTTTAAAGCTTACTAGTGCAGAAGAAGAGGACATTGTGATATATGCAGGTAGAGTGAACATGGAATGTGATAGGTTCCAGTATAAGAGAATATCAGACGGTCAATTCAAAGCATTGATTTTTGGATCTGGTTTAACATCGCCCGCAGATTCCGATATCAGAACAAAATTACTATCAAAACTGGACTCTAGCTGTAACATTTCCTTGCACGATTTTACCACGGAATATCTCAGAATCATGAACCTAAAGCGTGATTCACAAATGTTACAGTCAAACAACTGTTATCAGAGATAACTACTGTTGCTGAAATTACCAAATCAAACGTGGAACAGAACAGATTTCCAAAGCTATGAGGCTGGTTTCAATGGCCACCTGCACCATGCTGGAATTTGTGGCGCCTGGCACTTTGCACGCTTCTGTGAATTTCGATACCATAGTTGTCAAGGTTGTGGCAAAGTAGGTCACAAGGACGGACACTGTGTCCATTTGTTCAAGCAGCACCAATCAACCCGATTCAGAAGGCAGTCAAATCTAGTGTCCACTACCTACAGTTCTCGTGGAAGGCATGGCCGAGAATTTGCCACGTTTTTAATTAACAATTTATCAGTTATCTTACAAATTGACACTGCTTCCGACATAACAGTCATTTCATATTCGACTTGTAAAGGCATTGGAGAACCGGAGTATTGTGTTACAAAACCTATTGCTCGGAACGCTTCTGGAAAGTCAATAGCCTTTTTGGGACAATTAAACTGTGAGTCCACATTTTACGACAATAAATGCAGTGGAACATGTTACGTTGCAGCAGAAAATGAACTAAATTTATTAGGCATTGAATGGATAGATGAGTTACAATTATGGGATGTTCCAATCAGCTCAATTTGTGATTCATAAACTCAGAGCATGCGAAATGTATCTTCAAGTGATGTCGCAACTGTTGCTACAAAAGTGCAAAATGACATTTTGGCGAACTTGCAGGAAACGTATGCCAGTGTTTTTAAAGCAGAACTTGGATTGTGCATCGAAGTTCGCGATACTTTGTATGTCGCACCCGAAACAAAGCCAGTATTCCGTCCTTAAAGACCATTACCCTCCTCAGCCGTCCCATTGGTTGATGCAGTACTGAATCGCTTGGAGAAATTGGACATGCTAACCAAGATTAATTATTCACTCTGGGCTACTCCCCTTGTGGTAGTTTAGAAGACCAGTGACACACACAGTACGTTTTTGTGGTGATTTTTCAACTGGACTAAATGATGCCTTGCAGGCTCACCAATACCCGTTGCCATTTCAGGATGATTTGTTTGCGCAGTTAAATGGTGGCAAAATATTTTCAAAAATTGACCTTTCTGATGCCTATTTCCAAGTCGAAGTTGCTGAGGAATCAAGATATTCTCTCATCATTAATTCTCAATACAACAGACTGCCGTCTGGGATTAAGTGTGCTCCGGCGTTTTTTCAACAAGTAATGGACGCAATGCTAAACAGGTTGCCTTTTGCTATGCCTTACACGGATGACATAATAATCGTAAGCGCTTCAGTTGAGCTACATCAGGCACACCTAAATAAGGCGTTTGACCGGATCAGGACTTTCGGCTTTACCCTGCGAATCGACAAATGTGCGTTCTTCATGTCTTGAATTTCGTACCTTGGTTCAATCATTGATGCCAGTGGTCGTCGTCCTGGTCCATCAAAAAGTATGGCGATCCAACAACGACAAGTTCCAAAGGACAGGAAAACAGTTCAGTCATTTTGGGACTAGTTAACTACTACAACAGCTTTGTCCCTACTATACACTCCCTACGGATGCCACTAAATGAACTCCTGAAAAGTAATGCAAAATGTATATGCTCGCAAGCTTGTCAGTCGGCATTTGATGAAATAAAACGCATTTTAACTTCAGATCTTGCAATTACACACTATGACCCGAAACTACCCATCATAGTTGCTGCCGACGCTTCAGAGTACGGGATTGGAGCAGCACTCTTGCACCAGTTTCCGGATGGCAGACAAAAAGCGATCAGTCATGTTTCACGCACGCTAATAACTGAACGGAATTACAACCAAATTGAAAAAGAAGGTTTAGTAATTGTGTTTGCAGTCAAAAGTTTCCTAAGATGTTGCATGGTCGGGAATTCACGTTACGCACTGATCACCTGCCCCTGTTGCCTATATTTGGGACCAAGAAAGAAATTCCTGTTCGCTTGCAACGTTGGGCAACAATACTTCACGGATACGATTTTACCACTAAACACATCCGTTCGGAATGCTCTGGACATGTTGACGCCTTATCGCGCCTGATTGCTAACAGATCAAATTCGCAGCCACATGAAGACACGGTCATTTCGTCAGTTGAAGTCGATGCTGACACAAGATCCATCTTTGAGGAGTCCATACGAAACTTAACGTACAATGACATTTGTGAGTCTACACGCTCAGATAGCTGTTTACAATGAGTCATATTTTATCATCGCAACGGTTGGCCAAGAATTTTATCGGACGTGGAAATTAAATCATTTTTTTGAATGCCTTAACAATAGTAAACGACTGGTTAATGCTGACAGATCGCATTGTGATCGCTATAATCTCAGAGCAAAGGTGATTCAAATGCTGGACGCCGGACACCAAGGAATTACACGAATGCAATCACTTGCCAGATGTTATGCTTCTTGGCCAAATATTGATAAAGATATTGAAAGCGTTGTTCGTAGTTGTTCCACAGGCTGCAAAAACCCCATCAAAGTTGACCTACATCCTTGGCCGAAATCAACTGCTGTCGGTATGTGGATTAATGTGGATTATGCATGCCCATTGTGAACAATCAATGTTTTCTGGTTATTGTTGATTCATACTCAAAATGGCCAGAAATAGTTTGTATCACTCAAACAACGACAGCTTCAACGATTGCAGTTCTTCGTCGTTATTTCGCACAGTTTGGTTCCCCAGAAACACTCGTCACTGCTACTATACCAATGGTCCACAATTCACACAGAAAGAGTCCAACCGATTTGGTCAACTCATAGGTGTAAAACATATACGTACTCCCATTTGTCATCCTCAGTCCAATGGACACGCTGAGAGATTTGTGGATACATTCAAACGTGCTCTGTTTAAACTTAAAGGAGAGGGAGATATTGCTACAAACTTGGATGTATTCTTACGCATGTATCGTTCAACACCGAATCCTGTTCTCCCAAACCGGCAATCACCGTCGGAACATTTTATTGGTCGACGTTTACGCATACCGTTAGATGCCATGTTTCCAGCAAAGGAGACTAATGAGTGTGACCAGAAAATGGCAGATCAGTTCAATCGTAAGCACGGTACTCGCATGAGATATTTTCATCCCGGTGACCCAGTCTTTGTGTACAACTTCAGGGATACACATAAACGTTGGATTCCAGGAATTGTCAAAGCAAGAAAAGGAAATGTCCTGTATGAAGTGGAATGTCAAAACCGATTGACTACACGTCATGTTAATCACATCCAACATCGTTATACACCCGAACAAGTTCAGCAAAATGACACTACAGAGATTTACACATTCTTTTAGATTCAGATCACAATTGTGCGAAGAACATTTTTTTCGATAAATCTCATCAGGTATTTACAATTATAGAAAAAAATTAGAAAACCGATTGGTTACTGAAAGCTAGGTCTAAATTAGAAAGAACCACGAAATCCACACAATCTATTGCCTTGGCATAGTTGGCCATCGATCAATATCTTAGTCAGTCGAAGTAGGCCGCTCGGACAAAACACTCAGTAGGTGAGAGCAGATATATCAGCGGTGACAAATGCTTTGAGGCGACGAGCTCCCGCCGGAGTGCGTTCATGGCCACGGTAGGATCAAGGTTTGCACCACTGTCCGTTGTTTGCACAGTTCTGGTTTCAAAATCCTGATTGCAAATGGCCTCAGCTGTAGTTAACAAGCGTTTCTTAAGTTCTTCAGGGTATCGTTTCGGGATAGTATATATGACTTTGAATGAGATGTGACGGATTTCTACCTATACCATTCAACTCCCCCTACTACTCCTCTGTAATCAGCACGCAGACCAAACTGCTTATAATGCCATAGGTTAATTGGCATCTTAAGTTTGGTAAGTTCGTCGCTTGCTGAAGAGGTTACTCTGTCCTCTACACGGTAGTAACGTGCAAGTCAGTGGATGGTGAGCGGCGCTATATCACACCTAGTAACTTATTCAGGGTGGTGGTTGCCGTCCCCCGTAGCTCAGTGGTCTCAACCACGGACTGGCAACAGTCGAGTTGCGGGTTCGAGCCCTACCAAGAGTCCAATGGAATGCGCACTGCTGACGATTCCCGAAAGGATGAAACGTGCGTACAGTGATTTTCCGGGCAAGTGATGGCTGTCTCAGTGAGACTAGATGTGACCAATTTCTACATATACCATTCAATTCCCCCTACTACTCCTCTGTAATGACTCATTTGCCTGAGTCTGATGTCCTGTGTCAAATAAATGCTCAAATATCGAACAGTTGATGCTTCTTACGGTGCCTTTTCGAAGCGAAGCCAGGCAGTATTCAGCGATCCTTTTGGACAGGCGCCTGGTCGTATGTCCGAGCTACCTTGCATCACAGGTATAAGTGAATTGATATAGGATGAAAGATTCGGACAGGACCGGGAGTCTATCCTTCAGGCGCTGAGAAATCAGCGGTCCAGTTTCGGTAAGCAATTTAGGGTTGGCTCCTGGGAATGTCTGAGCCTTTGAGGTCAACAGTTTTCCCCTCAACATCTCAAAAGCAATGTCCCTTTTAAGAGAAACGGTAAGGAAAACAGTCCTTTTTCGGTACTGTAGTGACAGCATTGATAGAATGGGGCAGCGTGGAGTGCTTCTTAATGAACTACGGAGGATATCCATTCTATTGCAATGTACTGAGAATAAGCTGAGTTTCACTGTCCATCGTATCAAGGCTGCAGATGGCCCTGGCGCGATAAGAGAGGGAGGCAACGAACTAAGTTTCGCTTGTATTTCAGTGGCATACAGCTGCGAAAGTGAGTGTATTGGCCTACCCACGTCACTTTTCGGAATACACTTCTTTCAATTAACCCATTCTCTCGACGACGCAATAGCACGTCTAGCGAGGCCAGCTTCCCGTCCTTTTCAGTTTCAATGGTATATTTTAATGACGGGTGTACGCTGTTAAATTCGTCTAGCAAATCGTTGCTATCAGTGGAAGCGTCGCAGATGATGAATGTGTCATCCACATATCTGTAATATGAATCGAGTCGCTCGCTCGCTATAACAGCAGGCTTGTGATTCCTATGGCTGTGGGCCAATGCTTCTGGGGAAGGCACACGGGGAGTCAACCGTGCATGTTTATAGGAGGTGTCTACCGTGTAGATCACCGTTTCCAATCACATTCCTTGCAGTCATTCGCGTCCGTGATACGACCTTTGCTGTTCCAGACACCCTGTGTTATTCCCTCCGTCGCGTTGCCACCCACAGTTACGTACTAATGCGGGTTTCGGTAACGTCTGGTATCCATACTTCATTTGGACTCCTTTCACTCACTGTAGAAGGTAGTTGGATGCTTCAATGCGGTATTTATTAATTGTTTTTTACTAGGCTGGGATTGGAGATTATGCCGGTACAAAACTTTCGACGAAATCATGGCGAGATTTATTTGGCTCATCGCAATTAGGTTACATGCTTGATAGGCCCACTACCAATCCGGAGAAGCACTAGAGGTTGGCGAAATCGCGAGATGCTCAGCCAATGACGTGATAAAAATGCACTTGAAACAACTCACCGAAAGTCCGAATCGTATAGATGTTTTTCATTTACTTGATGAATACAATCCTCGGGATCGACCATATTACTGAGTGGACATGTCATCGGATTTGGTTTGGCCACGAATTCTGTGACGCTCGCATTGCATCCCTTATTTTGCCTCATAATTGCCCCATTTAGCGAGTTTAACGCTTGTATCCTCTGCATTCTTATTTTTTTGGTGAAGTATGTTCGGACAGTTGGACCGATTACATTTCATTATTCTTAACTTGCGTAGAACTAATGCTCATCTAGACTATTTTAAGGAGTATGAGTTGTCTGTGGAAGAACCTGGCAATAAATCGCGGTCAAAATCTCACATTTACGCTCCAAATTTGGTGACAGCTGCGACGATGATAGTATTTTTGGGGCAGTGTGATCGGCCTACGAGCTTTCCATCACACACTAACCCACTCGACTCATGTCGGATGATTTTATATAGCGTTCTTCGAGTACATGTGTTTAGTGTTCCCTACTAATTCGATTCGATGCATTGTCTCTGCTGCTCAGCTCCCCTTGTAACACACATCGGAAACAATGTACCTTGAAAATCTGCGTGGTTCCAGCCGACGATTTATTTCCGCTCTTCTGGGCTGTCGTCTCCCTTGTCCTGCGTCTCAGCTGGTCGTTTCGACTTTTCTTGCCACAGCCGCAAATCGGAATCTCCCCACACTATTTAGCCATACATTTGGATAGTTCCCTGAAGCCCAGACGTCGGTGGTACTGCCTTATATTATGTGACATCTGTTTGCACTTGGATATCTACCTGGAATCATTGGCTTCCTGACACGTTTTATACTTTCTCTTCTTGCTTTCAATCTGGAGTTCATTTCGACTGACTCGCCCTCACTTCTCCTTTTTCTCTCTTCATCATGTTCACTTAGACGAAAGATGGCCGTGAGCAGCCTTCTGCCGAGGAGACGCGGTATTTTGTGGAGGACTACCTGCCCAACATCGTGCCCCTGCTTCCAGTGACGAAAACTGAGACGGTATGCTTCACTTATCAGGGGCTTGCTTTTGTGATTGTTAATAGTTTTCAATTCGGTTAGAATCATTTTCATGGAGTTTGAAAATTAAAGTCTCATCTGTTTTTATTAGTCTACTCACTTTGTACGTAATGCTTCTTAGGCTCTGTTTACCTTACTCTGTTCGTCCCTTTCATTCCGCCATCCGCTCCATTTCTTCTCACTGGGTTACGATTGTTTCGACTGAGTCTACCCCATTTGCTCCTGTCCCACCCCCGGCTTTCTCTTGATCATATTGACAAGGCCGCATACCGTTTCTGTACAATTCAAGTGCTGTGCGCACGTGTCGTCACCTATTGACCTCACTAACAGACAACAAACTGTCAGGCCTGTCTCGGCCGCCAATTCTCAGCACCATCCAGCCCCCTTGGATGTCATAGTTCTGACCTTTTCTCACCCATCGGCTACACCCACCATGAGGCACACAGTGCCCCAGTTTCCAGCCACCATCTCGCTGATGACTGGTAGTGAACCAGGCACTACGTTCACTATCGGTCTATTCTGAATTCGTTGTCAGAGGTCGTAGTCCGCGTTCTCTGTCCCGGTGTTCGCATAAACCATCGTTCTTTGTCAAGTCTCTCTGAGTACAAGTAGAATATTTACCAATGTTGACACCTCCCTAATTGGTTTCTCGCGGGCACCACGCAAGGATAGTTTGATTGCATCCTTATGCGGCATTTTTGCTGAACTTTGTTGCCATAGCAATCCTCGGATCACAGCTCATTCGTCTTCCCGGCATTGCGCTCACAGGATCCTCGCGCCCAGCCGACTCCAACGATTTACATTAAAATTCAGTGAACACCAAGTTTACCAGTTGCTGAGTGTACATAGATGTATGGCTTCCTCTTAGCTGACCCGGTACCTTGACGACTTGTCTTGTTTCCTCCACATCGCACTTTGCACTACCTGGGCACGAGTCTCCACCCCTCTATTTCTGGTCGCCATCAGCCGCCTACTTTTGTCACGTGCAGTTCTCAGTCTGCTTTGGACAACTGCTTCCACTAGTTAGTTGTTACTACTTTATCCCCCAACCTTGTCACAGTTCGAGTTGTGAAATCCACATGCAGTCTATATGTATCGTTCGTCATAAACAAAACGCACCGCGCCGACGTGGCTACGTCCCTGTTGTCTTTATGATTCAGCTCATACCCTTGTTGCCTTGCTTTTTAAGCGGCTTCTCGACTCAAAGCGATTTCTCTTATGAATTTTAATGGACGGACTGTATTAATCGCTGACGTTTTCAAAATTGCATTTGCCTTCACATCCAGAACGATACCACATGGTAGTCTCACTGGCAGTCGAATCAGCGAGGACAATCCCGCTTCTTCACAGTTAACGGCATGCTCTCTGCGCTGGTACGCTTCACCAAGTGCTCAAGCTACACCATGCAAGCTGCCATTCATTCTCGTATTCCTCAGCTTGAAAGTTTCCTTCACATCTCTCTCTATCTCGCGACACCTTACCTTGAACTACATGTAAGAGATTCTTTGTTCTATTCCATACTCATTACTGGGTATGTTTTGCACTCTTGAAATGCTGTCCTCCAAAATTGGCCGAGACAAACTCATTCACTGAACCTTGATGGTGATCAGCTAACAATCGAGGAGGAGATCCCGAACCTCCACCTGTGACGCTGCTGTGATACCACCCTCACTCCGAAAGGCTGAGTGTATTACACAACCGTGCGTTCAACCCTCCTATTCGAATACGAAACCTGGCCGATCAGGTCGATAGACATAACAAGACTAGCTACCTTCGACTAGCGCTACCATCGCAGCTTACCTCATGTCTGGTGGGAGCACTGTTTGAGCAATGAGCGTGTTCGGCATGCATACATAGTGCAGTAAGAACGAGTGAACCGCTCAGCATCGTTAGTTCACTCACCAGGCTCCGATGGCTGGGCCACGTTTTGCGCATACTAGCGCACTGACTCCCACGTCGTGCGTTGTTTTCGCACCGGGTTGTGAATGGAAGAAGAGGGTCGGTGGCCAATCGATGACTTGCTCAAGAGGAATCGAGTCCCTCACTTCGAAGCTGGCCTCGGTTGGTGTTTACCGACTGCCGGGCTGAGATCCGAAGGACGATGAATACGTTTGGTTTGATACACTTGTTTACATGGCGAACTACTGGCCTCAATGGCGTTTGTGTTGCGCTTCTTTGTCTCTCCTCCTCTCCTTTAACTTACTCCTCCAACTTTGATCTCATCCCCGATGCATTATATTATTTGTTTTTCCTTTAATTTTTGTAGTCTGTAGTGTTTGGTATCTTTTTCGTTGCGGCACATTAGCTGAGGTGTGTTCCTCACTCTCAGCTAATGTGTATTGATGAATACTGAATACCGGTGACGATGATGATGTGGATGGTGATATGCTTAGTATACCTCGGCTCTCGGGGTCGTTTAGGAATTTACGGGAGATTGTTCCCTACCTTCACTGCGACTAATTGTTCGCATCTTACCGGTGTATTTCCCTAACTTACCAAATCGTGAATGACTCTCCTCTGTCTTCCTCACTTCATATTAAAGCGGAACGTTTATCGTGTGACCGAATGGTGCGCTGCACCTTCTTATCTGTGCTTCGCATATTTGAATTGTAAAGTAGTATTGCTACTAGGTTTGACCGACACACCACCAGCTCTCAAAATTGGTGCATCGCCTCACAATTGCAACATTACTGCTACTACGTCACTACTACTACTACTACTACTACTACTACTACTATTAATAATAATACTAATACATATACTGATATTACTGCATATATTAATACTATCACATATACTACTACTATTACATATACTAATCCTACTACATACACTAATATTAATACTAATATTACCACTACTACTACACACGACACACCACTAACCACCACTACTACACGCATTTCTGGCGCACTTGTTCCTTTTCAACTCGTCAACCACTTGTGAGGATGACGGAACATATGGTTGCCGGTTATCAGAAGGCCTTACATTGCTACAGTGCACTCAGTGTCGCTGTGTATCAGAGACATGGTCACTGCTTGTTGAAATCAGTAGGAGACGCACGTTTATTGACCTCTGCTGCCTAAGAGATGCCTGGTATGAGAACGGAGTAAGCAACACAGAATCTAGTGTTACTCACTAGCTATTGCACTCACACCACGCGGACTAGCCAGGTTGGATTTCCCATCCTTGTCCTTCGCATCGTTGAGTACTGCAGCGTATGGGTGACAGAAAAGACCTGGGAAATCTGCAAAGCATTTATTTAGTAAAGCATCCGCCTTGGAATATCGGAAGCGTTGGCATTAGCTTCACACCGAGTCTCTTTGATCACGACAACAAAAGCATAATCTTACAAACCAGTAGGCTTGTTCCAGTCTATGCACGTTAGAATGGCAACGTAACTTCACTCGGAGGCTTCGCTACAACAGTTGTAAACTAATTGTGCCAAGAACCAGGATAGCTATTCGATTGAACTTCTGCCTCATCAGATATACTGTCGTATGGAATGGCCTACCACTATCACTGTCAGGTTTTGTACAAATACAGGGACAGTTCGCGTTGAACTTGGGAATTTTCGTCAAGCGCGTCGCCAAATGAATTCTTCTAAGATGGACCAATAACTACACACCCAATTGGGAAAAAACCGTTACGCAATACTTGGAACCAACAAAACCCGTACATTTCTAAATGTCTATACAACACGGTCACTATTGAATATTTATCTTACTCATATATGAGCGTCTCCATTACAGAAACAACCGCTCACAGATCCCAGAAATATACATATTAGTATAATTAATATACGTACGGGCTGCATCGGTGTGCAGTGCTTCCTGTTGTTGTTGCACCTCGTTGTATGCTTCTACAGGGGGTGGCCACTCGACGAAGTGTACCACATAAGGTATGCAAAAGATGAATCACAACTCAGATTTGTCTAGCGCGTGCGTCATTATCGTTCATGGATGGAATTTTTGTGATCTTCCACACGAGTACTTAGCAAGGGGCTCGGATATGGCGCAATTTCTGATCTACTTTAACTCGGTTTCTGATTCTTACCACATCCCGTCATCATCTGACGCTCTCGAAGTTCTCGTCTATTCCTCTTGACACACTATCTTTGTCCCATCTCAGGACACCTGGACACATCGGATATTTGTGTTTGGATCGTAATCGATTGTGCAGCATCCGTCTGGATTGGTCTTGTGTCCTTTCCGCCTAATTTGTCTAGTTTAATCCGGGCACGCACCTGCGGAAGCGTAGGAAAAACATTAATCAAAATAGTTGTGCATTAATTGACAGACGGTGTACGAGCCCTGGATGGGAGTGATCACTTACACACAGAAGTATAAGTATAGTTTCTTTGTCTTGGCACTTAAAGGAGAAATGTTTGTCTTGAATTTTCTGAATCTCGTCTGTTTAATAGGTTAATATATTACTTTTTTCACATATCAGCGACCTGATCGCTTGCTACCACCCATTCACTTACTACGACTGGTTATGCCAAGGATTACTTCAACTTGCAAAATAGTCAGTGATGAAGGTATAGCAGTAAACAGCGTAGGCATAAAGAAACGAGGAAGAATAAGTTTGTCATCGATTTTTGGTGGTTCTTATATACTGTCAGATTCCGTTAATGTATTATCTGGCGAGTGTTGTGAATCAGGCTAGTTGAAGTAGCATAATCAAAGAATGTGAGAGCAAGAATGAGAATACTTTGCAGACTATGTAAAATCTACGATGGGACTGCATTTGCATTACGATACCTGAGCATAGTTGTATCATTAGCTCCAGGTTTGATCTAAGTACGCCTCCCGATTCCTTTGCATTTTAAAAAGTTCATTTGTAGTGTTTTACTTGCTGCAGGCTCGATTGATGTCACCAGTTCCAGCAATAGCTTTGGTATACTTTATGTAAGCGATGTTAGCCAATTTGTTCTTCAAGTGCCCCTAACGTTGACACAGTAAGGGTAATCATCTGTCGCAACACACATTGCGTTTAGCAGAATCGTGGTCCAAATCCTGCCAGTTTTCTCCCTACTGAACTCATCTGACCATTGCATTGCTCAATAATCTCAACGACGTGTGTTCGCTCGATATCCACGCGTGTCTAATTTATTTCCGATAACCTTAACGAATGCTATCTCATTCCATTTGAGAAAATCAGATTGCATTGAACGCGTGTTGCATAAATTTGGGTTCGAAAACGCGGTCAGTTGCTCTCCGTTACAAAGATGATGAGCGGAATTTTAGCAGTGATAAAAGGGGGCAGCGAGAAACGCATGTTACCGAATTCACCTTGGATTTTCGCCTCGTATCCATTCTTTTTCGAGGGTAAACGGCACGATTGATTTTCGCTAACATGAACTGGCCGTTATATTCAGCTATTTTCGGAGAAAATGCCCCTTTCTGTCGATTTGATTAGTTTGGGTCGAACCAGCCGGCGATCTGGCTTAGATGTGTCATCATTTTTCGTGAGATCCGCCATTTTATGATCTTAAAACCCTAATTATTAATGTTCATCGGTCTTGTTGTTAGGTCAGAACCGTGAGGCAATACATTCTGGCGGCGCGTAGTGTCCGATTTCAGGCGTTTGGTGTGCAATCGGAGTCACCGCTTTTGATTGTTTTTGGGCACATATGCAGTATCCAAACCCGCATACAGCCGCTTACAGCTACATGGCGTCAGTATACACTAGTGGTGTGCCGTAGAAATCCAGCCGATTTCGGTGGGAATCATGGCGCTTCGCCTTTATCTTTCGATTTACCACGGACATTCCTTTCACTCCGCACTCTTTTTTGTCGAGGGCGCGATCCTCTTCCATGATATCTCGGTCACCTACCTTTCAAATGTCTTCTGTTGTGAATACAACTCCCGTACTCTTTCTTGTCTTCTACCTCAATTGTTCAGAGTGTGTTGGACCCAGTCCAGCTGGCTAACATCAATATTCAGGATATCATTCGACGCTTGGAGGCCCACATTGCTTTGGCATCGGAACCGAGCAATCTGAAGGGGTTGGAACAAATGAAAGGTACACTGACCTCATCTATTTTCTCCCCTGTCTCTGGTGGTCTTCCGAAACTTTTGGTGAGTTACGTGTGTCTACTGTTCAGCCTATGACATTCGAATCTCCGTCGTATCGGGTTGTTTTTCTACTCACATGAACTTTTTCCTTATTGCCCTCTTTCCCACCTTGAACTGTTCAATCAGGCCTATTTTTTGCTTGAAGTGGAGATGTTTGGACTGATAGAGAAACTCCGCACTGGGTGTTTACCGTTTAACATCGTAATCATTGGATTACAAGGCTTTCAGACAGCTCCAGTCACGGCGGCATGTGTGTTCGTGCATGGCGGTAGATAACTCGCCTCTTTTAGAATACGGTGCGCAGGCTCAGTCAAGATCGCTATTTAATCTGACATAACTACCGGCAATTTCTATTTCTTGGACTTATAACAGTCCGTAAATTTTCACTCTCACTATCTCCGAACCCTACATTCCGCGAGTACTTTCATCGTTACTTAAATGTTGTATTCCTCTCGTTTAGACACCGCCAGAGTTGCATCTACTCTTCAAATTCCGAATTACATTTTCCTCCAACGAACTTCCAACTCTAGCTCCGATCCTCAATCAATCACCATGCGATTCAAACTTTCCAGTGAAACCTCAGTACCACCGCAGCACATGTAGACTAAACGTCTACTGTTGTGTCCATGCAGTTGGACATGAAGACTTACAAAAGTGGTCTTGCGTTAGTAAAATGCTTCTCCCCCCACCCCCTTTTGTTGAATATTCCTACACAAAACATTTCCTAGCCTTGATCAATTTTAGCACTTCTTTGGGCCGTCGAACTCGTCCTTAAGATAGCCAACACTCGAGTAACGTAGTGATCAATCAGCGTCATTTACCCTATCTTGAACGTTATTGTAGATGTGAATAAATTGAACAGCAATTTCAGTAGTTATGCCACTTCTGCTCTCAACCCCCGACTTATTCGCAGTTGCAGTTCTCTTATCTCCATACTGCACTGGAAATTGGCCCAGTTACCTTCTTGCACTCCGATGATCCATTTGGATTATCCATCCCATTCTCTTCAATGGAGTCTTCTTACCCAAATCACACACTGTTGGAAAATTGCTAACAAAGTGAAAATGTTGCACCAAATGTCATTTTTGTAGTCGAGCCAACGCCCAAATCGATGTGTTGACTTGCACTCTTCTATATGTGTGATGTCGGCGTTTGGCATCACAGGCAAATCTAATTTTGGCTACAGCAATGCGTTTGTGTTAGAATACCGTAATGCGGCCTACTGAATTCTGAAATGCAAATTTTTCTAGACCTGCTTGGGAGTTCTATAGCTACTGTATTCCATTTACTCTGTCTAACAGCACTATCTCTTCCCCCTATGAATTATGGTATTTCTCACGAGTCTATTCCGTAGATTTTTTCATTAACTATATTCTTTGAATCAATACTTCTATCTGTCGAAACATTTGTTCAACCATGTGGTCACTTATCTTTCATATTTCTCCGCCTTTTTCACATTAAAGGGTTTGTTACTGGCAGCTCTTCATTATCTTTTGACTAATGTCGTCTGTGTACTTTCGCACTTCACTTCGGTGACAAACATAGGAGATATACCTGACTATGCTTCGTCAGAGTAATCTTGTGCAAATGTACTATACACACAAGCCAGCAGACTGCTATTCTATTTTTCCAGACCTAGATTCTCCCTGTCTCTGC